TGTTAGGATAATCTGTAGCTATTGTTTTTATATTTGTCTGCTGTTGCTTTTGCTTTATGTTTGCTTTTTAAATGCATTTTCTGCACTGTTTTTCTTGCTTTTAGCTTTTGTTTTTAATGATCTATTGTTCCTTTAATGTTTTATCTTAACATATTTCTCTTGTAAAGCACATTGAATTGCCTTGTGTATTAATGGTGCTATATAAATAAAATTGCCTTGCCTTGCCTTACATGAACTTTAGCAAAATAGTTGAATAGACCCGTTCTTATTAACGTCATATTTTAACGATGCCAGGACACCCAGTTTTTTGTTTAACCTTGTTGAAGCCTTTTTAATGCCTTTTATTTTTTGTAAACAAAACGTAACTTTTATTTAAATACTTATTTCTGTTTGTCTAGACCCTTTTACCTTAGTTTCATTTTATTGTTACACCTCTCATCCCTCAGTGTAATCAGGGAATGTAACAACAAAAGCTATTTGATCCTTCCCTTAGTCCACACCAACCTCTTTTTGTATTTTATTATACTGGTTTCAAAAAGCCACACGCTTGTCTGCACTTGCAAAAAAAAAAGTTTAATTTATTAGGCTACAACGTTTCGGTCATGGACCTTCATCAGGTAGATTATTACACTGGTTTCAAATCATAGCCTATCCTACTGGTCAACATCCGTGTTATCTGAGGTTCTGCATGTTTTTGGCAGATTGCTGCGATGTATTATTTGTGAAAAATGATCACTACAAGGTGGGCACATACACTGATAGATGGACAGTGGATTAAACATACACATGCATAAAGGGGTATGTATGCTGCACGAATTGTTAAGACCCTTGGAAGAGTTAATTTCATTTAAGAACGTTATGATGAGACTGCATGAAATTGAACTTTGAATCAATATTCCCACCAGCTAAATTTGGATAATCTCTTAAAACAAGTTTGTTTAATTTAGAGTGCTAGATGTATATCTATACTAAAGCATGGACAATATAAAAGCTATACACATTTGACAGTCAGGTATTATTATCATAGTTGCTCCATATATTAGAGAGAAGCTAGCTGTCTAGTATTTAACTTGTGCTGTATGCAAAATGTTACAATTGTGTTCTTTTAAAAGTTATGATAGGTAGTGTACAATCTACTATAAACACATGAATATACCAGTTTGTAACTGGGCCTAAGGGCTAAAAAAAAGGACAGCAATGTCTTTTGTTGTTGTTTACTGTCTTCATAATAATTCATAATCATGTCTGTACAAAGATAAATATGTAAATCAGAACAACATCAGCCCAGACACCCCCTCTGCAAAGCTGCATTCTTAATCATACAGCCTGTCATTTTATGGCTAATTTTCCTTTAGCCTTAAATGAATCGGATGAAATCATATTTAAAGGCAGTTTTTTAAGTTTGATTAAAATGTTCACTCTTGGTCTTCACTTAAACTAGACTAAAATGTTGTATGTAAGACAATCAACTATCCAGTCTTTCAGTGACTAAAATGTCATGTGTTTTTACCGGCTTACATTAAACTAAAATGTTTAAGTTTTTCTTTGATGAAGACGAAACTAAATGTCCAGCGCTAAGACTAAAACTAAAAATTGCTGACAAAATTTGCTCCATTTGTGATTTTGGGTCATAAAGATTAAACATACTTAAATTAGTATGTGACAGGACTTAGCCATATTTTTGAGAGTGTGCCAAAAGAAAATCAGGTCTTCTTCAAATGCTTATCAATAACAAAGAAGACGTACACTCCAATGACTGTATGAAGGGTTTATTTATTGCACTAAAATGAAACATTCATTTTTTTTCACAAGACTGACATTTCTTTTTCAAAAGTGTAAAATTGTTGAATACTCCAAATTCTTGAGAAAGACAAATCATCATTCACCATTTTCACAAAAAAACAGACTTTGAGAAAACATCCTAAAATAAAAACTGTTTACCTGTATTTTGATTTTGATTTTAAAATCCTGTTACTTGTATACAAAGCTCTAAATGGTCCTGCGCTTCAGTACATGAGGTCATCCAAACATTGCTCGTACTAATTCTAAAGCAGGAGAGGCTGTCTTTTGCATATATACAGTACAGGCCAAAAGTTTGGACACACCTTCTCATTCAATGCGTTTTCTTTATTTTCATGACTATTTACATTGTAGATTCTCACTGAAGGCATCAAAACTATGAATGAACACATGTGGAGTTATGTACTTAACAAAAAAAGGTGAAATAACTGAAAACATGTTTTATATTCTAGTTTCTTCAAAATAGCCACCCTTTGCTCTGATTACTGCTTTGCACACTCTTGGCATTCTCTCCATGAGCTTCAAGAGGTAGTCACCTGAAATGGTTTTCCAACAGTCTTGAAGGAGTTCCCAGAGGTGTTTAGCACTTGTTGGCCCCTTTGCCTTCACTCTGCGGTCCAGCTCACCCCAAACCATCTCGATTGGGTTCAGGTCCGGTGACTGTGGAGGCCAGGTCATCTGCCGCAGCACTCCATCACTCTCCTTCTTGGTCAAATAGCCCTTACACAGCCTGGAGGTGTGTTTGGGGTCATTGTCCTGTTGAAAAATAAATGATCGTCCAACTAAACGCAAACCGGATGGGATGGCATGTCGCTGCAGGATGCTGTGGTAGCCATGCTGGTTCAGTGTGCCTTCAATTTTGAATAAATCCCCAACAGTGTCACCAGCAAAACACCCCCACACCATCACACCTCCTCCTCCATGCTTCACAGTGGGAACCAGGCATGTGGAATCCATCCGTTCACCTTTTCTGCGTCTCACAAAGACACGGCGGTTGGAACCAAAGATCTCAAATTTGGACTCATCAGACCAAAGCACAGATTTCCACTGGTCTAATGTCCATTCCTTGTGTTTCTTGGCCCAAACAAATCTCTTCTGCTTGTTGCCTCTCCTTAGCAGTGGTTTCCTAGCAGCTATTTGACCATGAAGGCCTGATTGGCGCAGTCTCCTCTTAACAGTTGTTCTAGAGATGGGTCTGCTGCTAGAACTCTGTGTGGCATTCATCTGGTCTCTGATCTGAGCTGCTGTTAACTTGCGATTTCTGAGGCTGGTGACTCGGATGAACTTATCCTCAGAAGCAGAGGTGACTCTTGGTCTTCCTTTCCTGGGTCGGTCCTCATGTGTGCCAGTTTCGTTGTAGCGCTTGATGGTTTTTGCGACTCCACTTGGGGACACATTTAAAGTTTTTGCAATTTTCCGGACTGACTGACCTTCATTTCTTAAAGTAATGATGGCCACTCGTTTTTCTTTAGTTAGCTGATTGGTTCTTGCCATAATATGAATTTTAACAGTTGTCCAATAGGGCTGTCGGCTGTGTATTAACCTGACTTCTGCACAACACAACTGATGGTCCCAACCCCATTGATAAAGCAAGAAATTCCACTAATTAACCCTGATAAGGCACACCTGTGAAGTGGAAACCATTTCAGGTGACTACCTCTTGAAGCTCATGGAGAGAATGCCAAGAGTGTGCAAAGCAGTAATCAGAGCAAAGGGTGGCTATTTTGAAGAAACTAGAATATAAAACATGTTTTCAGTTATTTCACCTTTTTTTGTTAAGTACATAACTCCACATGTGTTCATTCATAGTTTTGATGCCTTCAGTGAGAATCTACAATGTAAATAGTCATGAAAATAAAGAAAACGCATTGAATGAGAAGGTGTGTCCAAACTTTTGGCCTGTACTGTATGTCCCAGCAGATGAAACACCCAGCCTGTGGACCTGTGAGAGGCACACACTGAATACTTTTAAAAGCAAGTCAAAAACATTTCTCTTCATAACAGTCTATGGCTGATTTCTTCAGTGTGTGTGTCTGTGTGTGTGTGTGTGTCTTTTATGTTTGGGTATTTGTAATTTTGGCACTGATTCTTTCTCTACTTGTCAGTTGCACTTGTTTTATTATTATATGTCATTTCTAAGTGGTAGCACATTGTGTTGCATTTTATTGTGTATAAAATGCACCATATAAATAAAGATGACTTTACTTGAATAAAAACAAACATATTTTTAATTAAACAACTTGGTTTGTCATCTTATAGTTGTATGAACATGTCCGTTTGCAGTTACAGTTTATACCCACGTCTGTCCAAAGTCATTTGTAGCCCTGACAGTTGACAATGCTTCTAATGTTGCTGCAAAGAAGATGCATATTCTAAAACATGGATGCTTCACACACATCTTAAACTCAGCAGCACAGAAAATCTACTGTATACAATCAGCACAGTTTCAAGATGGGCACCCAAGATTAGTGTCACCAGTTCAGTATCTGACCAGATACTGATCAAACCTTTTGTTTCTGACTTATGATGTTGGATAATGGCCAGAAAAGTGTTACAGCAGAACATTATGATGTCACAGTGAAGCTGACCTTTGACCTTTTTGATATAAAATTTCATCACTTCATCATCTTGTTCTATTAGAGATTTGTGTAGATTTTGTCATAGTTATCATATGAATTCTTGAGTGATTGTCAAAAACTTGTTTTGTGTTGTGAGTGAGGTCACATGGATCTTGAACTTTGACCATGAAATTTGTTGATGTTTGTACCAAATTTGAAGTTGTTGTTTTTTAACCCTTTAACTTTCACCTAAACTGTTAGGTAGAGCACATTTTGAGTCACTATATCTGAATAAAAAATGTTCACCCAACCTCATTAACCTATCTTTACCATTTGGTTAAAGTATGTCATGCAAAACAAGTCCACTAGATGTCACTGTGTCTTTAAATATTCTGCCTTTTTAGTTCACCTCCTACAGGAAGTCAGTAACAAAAGACTCATTCCAGACACTGGGGCTCCGTGTGGTAGGATTGTCAAAGGTGGACATGTGGTTTTTTGACGTTCTAGTTTCAGAGGTCTTACTGAACAGACTTATGTAACTTTATACAAGAAATAAAGGTCTAATAATAATAATAATAATAATAATATTCTTTTTTAAACATGCTCTACCAAACAGTTCATTTGTCCTTTTAGAGTAAAGGGAGTGATGCCAAGCTAATGTAATTGAAATTAAGTAATTACTACAAAATAAAAGTACTTCATTGTTGTTAAACAATTTATGCAGAATAACTGTGTAAGTCTGATTTTTTTTTTTTTTCTAAAGCCATGCTAAACCAAACAGTTGAATTGTCCATTCATGGTAAAGGTCGGGATGCTAAGATAATACATTTACAATTTTTATCCCCCCCCACAAAAAAAGGTTAAATTTTCACTGTTTAGACAACATATATTTAATGTTATTCGACTGTATAGAAATTATATCAGTATGATTTTTCACCATTTATCAGATGTTTTGAAAATACTACAATGTTAAATATCTGGAATAAATACATGGAAATAATACTAGTACTAGTGAGAAATTGATATATGCTGGTATACTAACCTGGCGGCACGGTGTTTGTTTATGCCAAATTTAAAGAAATTCCCTACCATCAAAGTGTACGTTTGTGCCAGATTTGAGGAAATTCCCCTAAGGCCTTCTTAAGATACCGCATACACAAGAATGATTCAGACGCAAGGTAATTTTGACCTGAACCGTTGACCACCAAAATCTAGTCAGTTCATTGTTACGTCCAAGTGGACATTTGAAGCAAATTTGAAGAAATTCCCTCAAGGTGTTCTTGAGATATCTCATTCACAATAATGGGACAAAGGGATGGACAGACGGACAACCTGAAAACATAATCCCTCCAGCTACAGCTTTTACCCATGCGGAGGCATAAAAACCTATGACTGATTCTGATCTGTCTCTTTTTACAGTCATCCTTTAATGGCTAACAAACATGCCATTTATAATTACACATTTGTTGTGTTTGCCTTTGCTTCATGGCATTTTCAGGAATCCTGACTAAATAATGTTATCCTGCTAAACAAACTGAGATACATATTGATCACATTATAAATAGGTGCTGTTTCTTTCAGTCATCTTGGGGAAGGCCTCATCCTGAATATTGCTACTGTTGTGCTCCTCCAATCAAATCAAAAACTCCTATTTCTTTTCAACAGTTAAAGACAGTTTCTGTTATACTGAGTAGAGATTGGTTGTTTCTGGCTCAGTCACAGATTGTACATTTCATCCAGACTTTCAACAGCATCTTGTTTACTGTGGTATCTCCACTCAAGAGGAATTTCTCCCCTGCCCTGGAATTTTAATTTATAGTGGTCTTCCAGTTGCTGTTGAAATCGACATATAAACCATTTCCAGTATGTCAGCTTTGACTCATCAGGAGTAATTTGCCATGTTGCATACTTCTCCCCAGCACGTTGATACTGTTTATAGGGAAAAATGTCATTTGAATCATAATGGGGGTAGAAACATTGATCACTTGCAACTAATGTTGTGCAGAAGTTGATGACCAGTTCCACTGTGCCTCGAATATGCCATCCTTCAATCCCAGAGGGCCGATGAAAAGGCACACTATGTTTGTCAGGACTGTGATTTTCTAGCGTGTTGGTACAAACAGCTGCACAGAATGGACACTTTGCCCAGCAGCAGTTACACAGTTGATCGATGAGGATTTGATCAGGCTTCATCCTGAATTCCTCCATCTTATTCAGTGAGAGGCTGCTCACATCCTTCATGACAGATACAAGGCCTTTCTCTATCTCTTCTGTAAGAAAGTCAAAATTGTTAATGTCACTGAAGTTTTGACAAATTGCGTCAAATGTCAGCTCATCTTTTAGCAAACTGGAAAATTCCTTTACCCACATGTCTGAGTCTCCTCTCTGGGTTTTGACTTTCTCTGTTGCAGCAAATAAAGCATGACTCACAAGCTTATTGATGTCTTCAACATTTTTCTTGAGTATATTCCGTGCTTTATCTTTGTTGTCTGTGAGGATGTATTTCTGTACTTGCTCTCTTATGAAAGTCTCTGCTTGGTTCCTTGGGTGGCGGATGTAGGTGATAAAACCACCAAAGTCCTCTTTCTCAGCCAGTGACTTCAGCAAGTGTTTCTCCAAGTTCAACCTGTTCCCACTGAATGCTGGGAAACTGCACTTCATCTCTCCAGCAAGATCAATGGCAGTCTTGTTACAGACGGCTTCAACGGTGGAACTCTTCAGTTTTTCACAGATCAGTTCTCCAAACACAACAGCAGATGAGCTTCCTCTGCAGAAGCTTCTGAAAATGTTATAATATTGCTTTTTCTTGCTTTCTACACAAGTGACTTCATCGTTGTTCATTTTGAATTTTTTATGGGACTCTGAAAGCCATCTCTCTGCTTTGTCAAACACATACAGTAAAATATTAACTGTGAGCTCCTTCTTCACGGCGTATCTGCTGTTTGATTCAAACTCTTTCACTTTTTCTTTGACATTTTTGGCCACTTCTTGCAATTAAATTGATCTGTAGCCTCTTCTAGCGACAGGTTTGCTCTTGATTGCATCAAGGGACTGCTTTTCAATGCTGTCAATGAAGGATCTGATAAGTTGCTGTTCTTCAAATGCTAAAGATCTCCTTGATGTATGTTCTTTGTTTTGTTCTGCTGTTGATTGTATGAATGTTTTTTCTAAATTCTTAATTCTTCCTTGCCCCTCCTCATCTTGGGATTGTTGGCCTGTGTTACACAGGTCTCGGTCCTTGCTGAGAGCTACATAGCAAGTGTAATCACCAACCTCTGATATTTTTTTGTAGCTGCCACTGCTTTCACATTCAGCTATAAGAGACCATTCAAAACCAAGCTCCTGAAGGATAGTTGCCTGATCTTCTTCATAGTTAATGTCCTCAATAGGTTTTGTGCCTGCAATTAGTTCACTAACCCAACCACTCCAAACAGAGTTGAACTGTTTTTTAAGTTCCTCTTCATCTTTTGCCTTGTCCTTTAACTGATGAGCGAGCTCTTTGCTCTTTTGTAGCAGTTTGTTCTCAAACTCTGTCTTCTTATCATCAAGCTTTTTACAAGCATTTTTCTGCTCAATGACTTCATCCAGTTTTCTTTTGACTCCTCTCACTTGGTCGTCATGAAACTCCTTGATTTTGCTTTCAAATCGTCCTCGCCACTGAACCAGTATCTCTTTGTTGATGTCATCCTCAAAGTATGTTGTCACTGCTTTTTTGATTTCTTCATATGTTTTATTAATTTCCTTATTAAGATAGCTGAGCTCAACCTTGTCAAGTTTTCCATTTTCAATTCTGGTATGTAACCTATTCTCAATGTTCAACATGTTTTCCCTAAGGGCCCAGGTCCAGTTCATATACTGCTCCTCAAGTTTTCTGTAAACTGCAATCTCAAGTGTGTTTTTGAAACTGAAAACAAAGTTTTCATTCAACAGGGCATTCCACAGGTCCTGAATTTTGCTTTTGAACTGTGAGAGAAAAATTTCAGCTGACTGTAAAGCTTTAGAGAGGATGATGGTCTTCAGCTCTTGGACGCTCTCACTGTAACCTGGATTTGGGGGAGCCATAGGTGGACTTCCCTCCCATAGTTGGGCAAAGTATTTCACGTCTTTCTGCACATCGAATGCTATGACATCACTGAAGCACTCAGCATTACAAACCTCCTCTTTGGCTGCTAGTTGGGCCATCTTGTCCAGTTTTTCTTGCAGCCGTCTCTTTCCGTCCATGTTTTTCTCTGCAGCTGTAATATCTGTAACATTCTGGTGAACAAACACACAACTTGGAGTAAGTTGAACTTTCTTCATCCTCATGAAAGCCTGAACAACAATCTGCAGAACATCTTGAATCTCAGCTGGATTCTCTCCAAAGATGTTGATCAGTGTCATGTTTCCCAGACCAACAACAAATGTTGCCAGTTCATTGTCGTGGTGAAGAGTGGCGTTACCCTCCAACTCAAGAGCGCGCAGTCCTTCAGTGTCCACCACTAGAATGTAGTCAAAGTGAAAGTCTTTCTTGATCTCATCTGAAACTTTGACCAGCTGCATGAAGGCACCCTTGGTGCACCTGCCAGCACTCACTGCAAACTGTAACCCAAACATGGCATTCAGCGTTGTTGATTTTCCACTGCTTTGTACACCCAGCACTGACAAAACAAAAACTCTCTTGTCGCCCAGTTTCTTGATGACCTCATCTAAAAGACTAGAGATCCACGTTGAAGGCACATGACCTGCATCACCATCCATCAGCTCCATTGGGTGTCCTGATATCATCAGCTCTGCAGCCAGCTCAGGGTATTTAGACCAGTCAGTTTTTCTCTTTTTTGTTTGTTTCTGCAGAGATGCATTGGCTTCATAGATCTGTCCCATTTCTCTAAAGATGTGCTCCAAGCCAAAAGTGGCAGACTGTAGTTTTGTTGATATTTGTTCAAGCTCAGTTTGCTTGCTTTTTAACTGATCAGATTTGTCATGCTTCTTTTTCAAAGCCAAGACCTCAGACCACTTTTCACCATAGCTCTGTAAAATTAAAGACAGATCATCTGTGGAGAGGGCATCAATCAAAATCTGAGTCCACTTCAGGAAATACTCTCTATCTGTTGATGGCAATGACGAGAGGGTTTCAGTGAACAACTTCATTACTTCACTACAGGAAGCAGTGCATTGATCTTGTCGTATCTGCATCAGTTCCTTTTGCTTTTTACATTTCTCCTTCTCAATGTGTCCTTCGAGGTGATACAGTTCTTTGTTTATTCTGCACCACTTGTGCCACAGTTGGCCTTGACAAGGGAGAAATGTATCTTTGATCTTTGACACATCCATCCCCTGAAGCAATTTCACAATTTTAATTGCAGCAGATTTTCCCTTTTGGCAGACTTTGTCATCTTCATCTACTCTGATTCCAGAGACTTCAGCCATGATTTCAAGCTGGAAGGATGCATGTGGTCCAGACAAAATTTTTCCAATGATTCTTTTCAGTTCTTTGGAAACATCTGAGTGATTTCTGTCTCGAAGACCCATTATGTATTTTCCCTTTTTTTTCTCAACTGCACCACATTCATTATCAGCAGTGAGACATATGAGAGGCTTTGGAGACTTGAGAAGGACTGACATAACTGCAGAAGTTTTGTGACCTTTTCCCAGAGTTGTTACAAGAACCACATTGATTGAAGATTTGTCAGTCAGTATGTCACGCTGTTTTTCAATTGACAGAGCATCACCATGAAGATTACAGAAGGCAATGCAGTCAGTGAAGGTATCATTGGGTTTTCCAGCAGGGCAGTACCAGGCAATCTCTGCCACACCATCCATCAGATGGCGAGACTTGGTGCTACCTGGGCAGTTTCTGTGGAAGAAGGTGCTGTGACGGTCATTGATCAAAGCGTTAATCAGCTGTGACTTAGACAGAGATAGTGAACCCAGGCGGAGAAATGACACCATGGGTGTCTCAGCTTTGCAGATGGGCATGCTCTTCATGGTGACAATGTTTGAATTATCTTTGATTTCAGTTACCTTCCATGCTTTTCTTATTTGTCTGAAAGTCCACAGAGGACATTCAATATCCATTGTGACTGGGTCAGGAACAAGCAAAGGTAAGGCATACTGACATTGTGATAGCTTTGTAATCATGTTCTGCTTCAAAAAGCTGTCTGAGCAGTGAAATACTGCCATCTGAACATCCATTGGATGCACATGAGTCTGTTTTGATTGATCAAAGTCTGCAGTGGTGCTATAAAAATCACTTAAGTCATCATCGTCTGTGTCAACAGTGTCAAACTTTACAACAGACTTTGAATGGGTCACCTCATCACTATCCTGTCTTACAGGAATATATCTGGCTCTGTAGTCTAACATCATCAACCTCTGAAGTAAAGTATGAGCGAGTTCTTTCTCAGATGTTTCATGGTCCTGTTTCACAGGTGGACCTACTTTAAGAAAATCTGCTGGTGACAACTTCTGTTGATGTTTGTCTTGAAGGTGAAGTCTGCCAAGCAGTGTTTTGGTTTCTCTTTGATATTGTTCCTTCCTGTTGATCTCTTCAGAAGTCTTCACTGACTGCTGTAAATAAGTAAATAAATATGTCCTGTATGTAAAGCATTGTAACACCATACAATGAGGTATAAAGTAAATCATCCTTAACATTTAATGAATTAAATATGGAGTTTCTTACCTCATCCTTGTTTCCACTCTTATCCATATTTAAGGTACCTGCAATAGAATAAGTATATTATATGAGGGATGGAGCAATATACTTTTAAAGTGATATCTTGTTTTTCTATTTTTAATGATAACTGTAATCTATTTTGAACATTAAAGGCACTATGTGTAACAATTTCAGTTGTTCTTTGAGACAAACAAATTTTGCAGTCAAAAGTGTGTCCTAGCACATGTGTATTTACCTCCATCAGCATATCTAAGTATGTCCGTAAGCTCCGAAATTCTCATTTACATATACATTGCGACCGGTGTCTCATCATGTACATGCGCCATCTTGAAAATACAGGTACATACAAGGACATACTTGAGAAATACGGAATCGCCTTTTGCGTTTTCACTTGTGTTTCCGGTTTCCGTCTGCAGGTAGAGTGATGAAAAGCAGCAGCAAGCAGGCAAGTCACAAGTGCTGGTGAAAAAAGGCAAAAAGGCAACGTGACCGGCGATTTAAAAAAAAAACGAGGTTCAACATTGGGGTAGCCTTTCCCAGGTGGAGAGAGCTGCTGAAGGAGAATCACAGCTAACAGCGCTGTTATTGCTGTTAGCGATGCAGTGTTTCGAGGAGAGGGACGAGGTGTGTGAGGTTGAGCCACTTGTCAGTTGTCAAAAGACAAGACGTTATTGGTTTGTCTTCGATTTACACCTGTCCCAACAGTCCTACTTTGTAAACACAGCCAGCATGGTGAGGAGGGGGTTTGTCAACTCACGTCGCGTGTGTCTGTGTAGCAGCCTGAATGAATACTCCATGAAGTATCAGATGACATGGTTTCATCAATGTTACCATAGCTTTTTGGTACACAGCAGCTACCGTTGTTGCAATACGCGCTTGAAACACTGAGGCGTTAGAGTGCGCTATCTGTTTAAATGCAATAAACGATCTCAACACTAGGTGGGAGAAATTCCTACACAGTGCCCGTTTAAAAGCTTCATTAGCTCTATCCTTGACTTTTTCATATTATTGCTGTATTCATGAAAATATCACCTGTCCCAGGATCTGCCGATCGTACAGGCTTGATTACAGATTCTCCTCCTTTCGTTGTGCTGTCATCATTCTTTGAGTGTTCAGCATCACTGGGTTCATTCACTGGATTACACTATGAAAACATTATTTTATTTAACATACGTTAACCAGGTTAGAACTTTTGACATTAGGTACATGTACAACTAAATGCAACCAGGTTTATATTTTAGTGAGACAAAAGGAAGCTCTTCTGCAAGTGTTTTTTCAGTTCATCCATGTGTTCAACCAGGAAGTTGAAGGACTCAAACTCACTGTAAACTAACAAGGCAAAAGGCTCCAATCTTCAGCTGAAGGTTCAGGTGTTAGTGCTGAACTTTGATATAACTTCAGAAAAATAGCATTTAAAAAAGAAATGCTTCTGTATGAACAATGACAACTGAGGACCAAAAGATGTCATCCTTACCTCTGTTTTAGCTGCTCTCTTCTCCTCGTCTACAGCAGGGTTATGTAACAACAAGCAGATTGCACGATCAGACATAAAAGAATTTGTTTCAGTTAGTTAAACATTCCAGGTTAATAAGATTTACACATATGATTTGAATTATTAGAAAAAAAAATACACATTCAAAAACCCCAACATAGCTGACATGTGTGCGCTTGCGCGAGACTGTGAGACATGGGCACTGCCTTCATGTGTGTTCACATGCTTTCGCTGGTCTCGCGCGCAAGTGCGCACATGTGAGCACAGTCCACAGAGAGGCAGTTAGAGCTACAGGTTACACTGAGGCTAAAAACAGAGTTCAAATGACGTTTTTTCAAACAACTTTTTATGTCGGGGCCTCAGGACACTTGGATCAATACGGACGAGCAGTATGGAGATATTTTATGGTTTCAATTCTGTGTTCTTGGACGTTTTAATCTGGGTCACCGTCAGCCATTAGGTGAGCAGTTGTGCTGCTACCCACTTCTCCCTCAGATCTCCGTAAGTGATGTGAGGACTCTAAAACTTCACCAGAGCCTCCCTTGGCATATGGGTGAGTAGATAATGGCTGAATTTTCATTTTTGGTGCACTATCCCTTTAAGGGGGTGTTACAAACTTTACATGACTTTCTGTGTATGCCGTCATAAATATAATTCATGATGAACAAACATGACAAACAATTGAAAATAGCTAATAGAGGGAAAACATGGGACCATCTTTACCAACCAGCACTGAAACCCACTTAGCCATCCCATTTAGACAATCAGAGCTCAAAAAGCATCACTTATATTTCTTTAGTTTTGGGTTAAACTCCAGCCGGAGGGGAAAGTTCATTTGACCCAAATAAGAGTCCAGTTCAAAAACTGACTCCTCATCATCCTTCCCAAGTAACTCATATTGTGAGGACCATCCCTCAATGCTTAAAAAAATGAGTTTGAAGGGTAAAACTTGGCATTAATATTAAGGTTAGAATTAGGTTTAGGTTCGGATTCTGGTTAGGGCTGGAGTTAGACACTTAGTAAGGATGGTTATGATTAGGGTAAGGGGCCAGGGCATGCTTTATGTTAATGACAGTGCTCACAAGAATAGAAAGACAAACTGTATTGGTCTGTATTTGTGCCAACGCTCTGAAAAAATGTCAAGTTAGATCACAATATAAAATTCAAGTTGTTTGAAAAGTTCAGTGTCTGTTGTAAAAAACGCGCATGCTAAAATTAAACAAAACGGTATGTAATTTAAACTCACAGTTCTGTGTCTCCTTCGCTCTGCCTGGTCAGTGGGGATATGGCTGCTGTATCCTCCAGCCCCACTCTATATATAGATAGATCAGAGGCCTGTGTCCTTTGTGACGCTACGTCTGCCCCTCACAAATCCCTCCCACCTGCCCCTGACAAATCTAACGTGGTGTTATTATAGGTGGAAGGAGCTGGGAAATTCTGCAGGCACATTACTTGAAAATCAGTGATGACAAAAGGACACGTGAAAGTCGCATAGCTAAGTTAGTAATAACAAAACTAAAAGTGAAAGTAAGGGAGCTCCATTTCCTGGAAACCTTGTGACTTAGTTATAGGCTAAAAGGTCACACTACTCAAACACTGCCAAGCACATACTGCTGTCAACACTGAATATCTGTGACTTGCTGAGCCACAGCTGCTACAAGAGTTCATGTTTGTTTAGAAAGACATTAATTATTAAACCAGCAGATCCACTGATGTTTAACACATACAAGAAGAGGTTAGTCCAAAAACAGGAGAGAGGCACTGATTCAGTCTCAAGCTTTCAGTTTTAATTAAAACTGCTCCAGATGATAGTTTTTAAGTAAAACTGAAAGCTTAGATCAAATCCCATTTCCTTTTATGGGTGAGCGACTTTACTCTTAAAGCCTCTTTCTCCAGTGTATTTTGGTATTTTTATGATATTTATTATTTTTCTGAGTCATGTCCTGACAGTGTCATTTAGCCACACTGTTCGCCTAATATTTTTTTTTTTTTTTTTTACAAACGACTTAATTTCGTGCTCAGAGTTTAAAATAAGAAGGTTGTTGCTAATATGGAAAGGTGACATGTGACTTGTGTCTGTTCCACGTTTTTCTCCTCACTGACTTGGTCAATCCATGTGAAATTTGGCACAGTGGTAGAGGGTCATGGGAGGATGCGAATGAAGCAATATTACATCAATTGGCCAAAGGGGGGTGCTATAGCAACCGATTGAAATGGCAAATTTTGAATGGGCATATTTCATGCCCTGTATGTCATGGAGACATGCAACCGATCGCTGTGGCTCCCCCTGTGGACCAATGTTTTGTTTTGTTTTCTAATTTTTGGTAGGAGGATTGGCATAGGTAGAAGGTGACAAAGCTACCAATGGGTATGGACTAGTAGTGATAATTATAATAACATGGACATAAATGAATGAATTAATGACTTAATTTCAAACCAAAAATATAAAACAAAATGAAAAACAAACAAGACGAAGATAACAGTGTACGCAAAGGAGTAGGTAGATGTAAAACCTTTATGTCCTACTCCCTACCCCTTTCTTACATTTGTTTTTTTAACTTGTATATTATTTCAACAAATTCCCAAATTGATTTACAACTAATATACAACTATCCCAGTCTATTTACCACCCAATTAGATAAATGAGTAATAAACCCAGTCTACTTACAGTCCAAGTACCAACCAGTGTTATAAAATAAATATGCACTCCCTTAACAAAACCTTTCCTCATCTATATATCTGCCAAAAATATCTTTTTGAATAGTTTTTTAAATTGATTTATATTTGGGCTTTGTTTCAGCTCATCACGTTGCCCATTCACAAGTCCACCCCAAACACTGAAATACACAGACTCTTCTTAGTTGTATGAATACATTGTTTTTTGAAATTAAATTCTCCTAAATTTTAACCCCCCTATTATACATTATTGCAGTCAAAAAATTGTGACTTTAAAACAGTGTGTTGGTGTGTTCCCTGTTCCCCACACTGTGAGCTGTCCTGATTGCTCTCTTTTGAAGGACGTATAATGGTTGTAAGTTGCTTTTGTAAGTGTTGCCCCAAACTTCTACACAGTAAGTCAAATAGTACAAGTGATGAACACAGAAAGTGCAGTGATTTATGGTCCAGTACGGGTTTTGTTTTCCCCAGAACTGCAATACTCTTTGCCACCTTTGTTCTTACAATTTCTGTAAATGCTGAAACATAAAACAGACATGGCAATTCAATATATAAGGACATTAAAAAACTGTTTAAAACGAGGATTAACCATAAATCTTAAAATCATGAAAAATGAAAAAAAAGTCATACGATGAAATAGATTATAAAGTCATAAAATCATGGCATTATAAAATCATAGAATTGTAAAAGTTAAGGCTAGTTACAGGCTAAAGTGAACAGATTTAAAAGTGAATTTGAAAATATTTAGCGAGGTAGCTTCCCTGATATCTGTAGGTAGTGTGTTCCATAGCTTTGGGGCATAATTGACAAAGGATGCATCCCTGATCTTCTTCTGACTGTTGCTGGGAACCTCCAATGTTCCTGGAGGCAAAAGAGTTTGCAATGTAGCTCGGTCCAAGCCCATGTAGGGCTTTGAAAACAAGGAGGAGGAACTTAAAATCAATTGTAAATGTAACAGGAAGTCAGTGTAGAGCAGCTCAGACTGGCCTGATGTGCTCTCTCCTCTTGGTTGTGGTTCATAGCCGAGCTGCAGAGTTTTGAAGGAGCTGAAGTCTTTCAGTGGTGTTTTTTGGGAGGCCAGTAAAAAGTGCGTCACTGTAGTCGAGGCGGGTTGAAATAAAGGCATGAATCAATTTCTCTGTATCTTTTTTATTTATAGCCTATGTGTGGTGAACAGCTGCCATTAACACACTGAATTACACAAAATCCCATTAGCAAAAATAGCTCAACACACTGACTGTCTCTCTCGTTGGCTCTCTATCATCTCTTGTGACAGAGTTGGTGTGCTCTGCGAATTATCTCATTACTGCTCTGATGAATAGTAAATTAATCAATGCAAATGCCATATTGCTGTTTTCCAATACTCAAGCTGCAATATTAACCATTAACCATTTGAACAGAAAGTAAAACTGGCTGGAGGGGGGGCTTTAAATAACTGGGTGCTGCAGCAATGCAGTGTAAGCACTAAGTGGCATTCTCAGACTGATGATTCAGGGCTTTTAAGCCTCCCCCCAAGTATTGCTTTTATTTTCATTTTCATTAAGACCCCTTTAGGCTATCAACAGTGTGCTGCAAGACTCTTATGTCATACAGTTAACTATGTAAAGCAATCCTTATTTTTAATTTGCCGTACTTCTATAAGTATTACACTCAATCATCACAAATAACTTAAAATGCTGTTTGCTTCTTTTATGATTTTTGTTTTCAGGAATACTCCCCACTCTTCCAGAAGCTTTGATAAGGCCTCCTCTCCAAACAGCAGCTGGAAGTCTTATAGGACCAATCCCTTTGTGTCAAGGAATCTTGGGAAGACTGTGAGCACTGTGCTGGATTTCTCGGGATCATGAATCACTCCTGTCTGTACTGAAAGGTTTGTCTCGTTTTTATGAAAATGTGTTCAGTGTCTGTGCTGTGCCTCTGTAGAGGTATGGCCTCCCTACACTGATCTCCTCCTCCTTTTTCTGAACTGTTAATGCAACAGTATTACACAACATTTCTGGTGGTGGTGTGTTCTATATTAGCAGAGTTCAAATAGACAATGTGTGCCTTGTTTGGGGAGAAATATTCAAGGGTGGGTGGTGCTGGTTACAAATTGCTTGTTGTAATCTGATTAAGTAGTTACTGGTTCACCCCTCTTTAAGTTTTTATGGCTATTCATTCATTCATTGAATTCATATTTACTCAAATTTGAGTATGTGGTAGGCCTATTGCTGAACCTACATAGTTTGGTATGAAACACCAGCTGATAAAGACATGTCACGACGCACGTCAGATGACGCTTCTGAAGAGGACACAAACCTAACCAATTCTGTCTCATCTCAAACAAGCCTTATGCCAGCAGTTTGCCTCTGTATGCAGGGGAGCATAGTGGGGCTCCTGACTGACTGCTTCTCAGACAGCCATTCAATCTGAGTCTACTGAGCTCGTCTTTCTTCACAGTCTTCCCAGAAGGCATACTGGGTATGCATGGCTGGCAAGGGCATTAGTCTCTCCCACACAGATCTCTCTGTCTTGATGGCTGTTGGTTTCAAGTGGTTTCATGCCATTTAGATGTGGAGAGACCGTGAGTTTTTTTAGGGAATAATTACCAAGGTCAGACCTCAGTGACCTCATAGCTGGCTACAGCCATGGTTATACAGAATAATTACTATAAAACCCCCATTTTACCAAATTAGTTATGGTTCTTAAACTGATTGTGTTCAAGATTCTTGGAACCTTGGTTCTATCTAGTGAACCAGTCCATATTTTCACCAGTCTAGAAATGTTCAAGGATGTGTCCTTAACGGAAGCCATTGCACAATGCACAACAGAAGTAAACAGTAGTAATACAATCATGGATTACACCGAGTACCTGCAAACTTTTGTTCTGTTATTACAGATATTTGTTTTTACCCCAAAAAACAGCATGGACCAACTATTCATGAGACCACTGACTGCACGCTGTTTTATTCTGACTATTTCTCACTTGACTTCTCCATCCTCTCTTTCCAACCTGTAGAATATGACACTGATGTCATCACAATTCACACTTCAGGTCAAGACAAACCTGCTATTTTTTGGTTCCAGTTGAGAACAAACTTTTCAGGTTCTTGTGTAAGTTCTTTTTTGGTTGAAGTGCTCTAAATGCTTCAAAATTAGGTGCAGGAACCGGAATGGAACCGGGTATCAGTGGACCCAATCTTTACCTCATGATTACCTGAGCATTACTTACCTCAAGTGGTACATGGTGCCAAAACATTTATACAGCTTAACAGCTGTTGAGGGAATTAGATGTAAGTTCACAATGTTTAAAAAAGAGAGCAGACATTTTGAATCAAGCATTTATTACATCAGCCATATCATTTTAGAAAAACGTAAACTAATACTGATAAAAGCTTGATAAACAATCCTATATAGATGTTACAGATGCAGTCATCTCATAGACACTGGGAGGAATATCAGCTGTAATTGTACAACTAACTGAGTTTTAACACCATTATTCCTGATAACAGTTAATTTATTCACAATATACAGAGGTTTTATCACAGTTGTTATAAAACTCTGTTCCTCAGATTCAGCTTGACGCCTCAGACCTTTGACCCTGAACTTCCTTATTTATGTAAAGACATTGAACATCATGATTATGGAGTAAGTGATTATGTATACTGTGAATAAAAAATAGAAAAAGTCCATTCAAAATGTATGGGGCTCCACTGTAGTCTCCAGTCACAAGTATAGTTAATGCAGGTTTTAATCTTTGTTACTAATAAAACTAAAAGTCATTATTACATTATCAAGAGTTTGTCCTGACAGGAATCCATTTTGTGATGTCAGAGTCATTCAGTGACTTATATGTTTAGATTAGTTTAGATAGTAGTGCACAGAAAGGGGAAGGTCCAGAGTCAAGATCATCATCAAACATTCATCCTGCAGACACTGAATAAACACCAGGATATGGTAGCTGATCAATGATGTCCCCTGTGAGAAGAGGAAGGATATTTCTATGGACAAGTTCAGCCTCTCTGACCAGAAATGAATCCAGAACTCAGGTCATGTGAAGTTTTTGTTTGTTTGTTTTATTTAATCGATGCAGTCCTTACTCTTTTTCCAAGTTTCAACATCTAGACTTTGATCTCTTCCTCCTCTTCAGAAAAGGCATATGGTGTTTTGGGGCTTTGGGAAAAAGCAGGAGAGGTGGTGTTGATGCTCGTCCTTGATCCCCTTGTGAAGGACCCTCCACCATAATGACGAGACAGTACGTCAGCTGCCCTCTGAAACCTCTCTGCCTCCATGGCAGGCTCCGCTCTCTGAGGAGACCCAGTACATGCATCTGGTGTCCTCTGTGACCTCCTCTCCTCCTCTTGCTCTGTCCAGTTAGAGCTGCAAGAGTGCCCCCTGTTGTTCATGTTACTGCTGAATGACCCGCTTCCCATGGAAGGGTTGGGAGAAGTCATCAAAGGGCTCTGCACAGGTGTCTCTGCCAGAGAGCTGTCGTCCTCTTCTTCTTCTTCCTCATCTACTGCCTGGCTGTGATTGGACATCTGAAGGCAGCTGGGGTTGTCAATCAAGCTCAGTACCTCAGTCATAAGGGAAGGGCCGAGGTCTACAGTGAACGAGGTGAGGGAGTCTGAGCGTGACAGTGTGATGCCTCCGCTGTCGGTTAAAGACCCTTTCCGGACGTCTCCATCTTGAAACTGTCTGTCAAGGCGAGAGAAGCGGGGCAGAGTGACAAATCCAGACTGCAGACCTGCAAACAGACAGAAGAAGGAAACACACTGCATTCACTGAAATGATCTGAACTTATGACATAACATAATGTGAACATACAAGGCAAAAAACAGACTGGAGCAGCCTTTAACTGTGCAAACAAACTAACATTTAAACACCACTGTGTCGTCATCAGAGTCAAAATGGACAAAGACAAAAGGCAAATATATGTAGTCACAACCCAATTATCTGAAGGCATTGTTTGTTTCTGTAAACCCCGCATACATTTGTACATTATTTTGATGTGAAGCAGTGATTAGGTTTACAGACAAAACCACTTGGTTATGGTTAAGAAACGATAATTTTCTGTGACATATAGCACCGAAGCTGCTGGAAAGGCAGGGACAGGTGAAATACGCCCAGATTTGCTGTCACAAACACCTTTGGGAAACACTACAATGTGCTGCTTTTAACACCCACGTTTGCTGCAGAACACCCACCACTTGGTTATGATAAGGAAAAGATCATGTTTTGGCTTAACACCCACATTCAGTGACACAAAATCCACTGGAAAAGCAGGGACGGGTCGTTGATAAACACCCAGTGGCTCAAATGCCTCCATATGTGAGAGAAAATGCTCAGCTTTGCTCGCTGAAACGCCTCTGGTAAACGACACAATGTGTCGGTGAAAAACACCCAGGTCTGGTGCCACAAATGCCACTGGGAAAACTGTGATGCTGCAACAAGATGCTGTGATGTGTCAGTAAAAAAGACCCAGGTTTGGTGCCACATATGTGGCTGGGAATCACAATGATGCGCTGTTAAAAACACCCTGAATTTGGTGCAACAAACCCCAATGGGAAATGCTATTAAGCACTGCTAAAAACACTTTGATTCACTGCTGATAGGAAACTCTGTAATGTGCCGCTAAAAACACCCAAATTCGGTGCCTCAAACACCGATGAAAATGCTGCAAAGGGCTGCCAAGTGGTTTGTTGGTCTTGAACAGTGGTCTGCAGCTTGGCAGCTGTCTCTCCTAGATGTCATGCCATCATCCATCCCCTCCACCTCCAAAAGTCAAAATGAACTCATACTATGTCCGCTTAGAAACGTCGACATACTACAAATAAAACGTACAAATGTAACAAATCCATGGTTTGCAGAAACATACAACGCCAACATTTTCTTCTGGCAGCTGGGCTGGTAGTCAACCTACAACATTGAATAAAACGTCAAGCAGGATTTACAACTCTATAACATAGTGGATCCAAGGGTGGGAGTTGCCATTGTCAGTAGGCGATGCAATACCATCACATCTGAGTTGTAAAAAAGTGCTAGTACTGCATCCATCACATGTAACAAATTTAAGTAAATATGAAAAATTGGTTCTTCATTCAGGCCAAAGGGCTCAACTGTGTTAAGAGGCTGCATCCAGTATGCCTTTCTGCAAAGCAATGAGTTGATAATGTCACATCTAGGAGAGGGTGAAATATTTTCTATTCTCCAGAACTTAAACGATGCTGCAGACATGTGACTCTTAAAGGTACCTCTAGGTTGTCCAACAAATTTGAAACCACAGGCACATGTAGGTTGATTAGACAGCCAGGGGACAGTGTTAGGTTTGTAGTGTAATTATGTTACGACCAATGTTTAATGGGTTTATGTTTTTACTACATTTTTAGCTGGAAGCCACTTTGCAAAGTGCAAACTTCTGAAGTGAAATCCAACCTAAACAGAATTGACATTGTGCTTTTTTAGGGATTTTGACAGTAAAGTAGACACTGAAGACTGTAAGCATTCATAAAGTTTCTCTTTGAGATACAAGCTACATGCAAAATAATTTTATTTGAGGTCCCCATATCCCAGTAAACTTTCTTTATTGTCTCTGATTAATACTTCAATTCTTTACTGCTACACAGAGATACTTGAAAGTTATTCATTGACCTGGACAGCATCACTGATACCAGTTATGTTGACTGAATTGACTTGAGAGTCCTCAAAATGTAAATCTACAACCTTCGCTCATGTTTGGAGCTGCATATTCTGAAGCTTTGACTGTAAATATCACACTATTCAAAATAGGGATTTTGACAGCATGTTAACTGAATCAGATTGTTTCAGCCAGAGACATTATTATCAACTGATTAAGCCTTCAATACAAACTGAGCTACTGTAAGTCTAGCATTTAAATTCCTTCACCACAGGATGGCAGTATCTCACAGTGAGTAACCCACAGCTGTCTCTGTCTCATGAACAAACTTAATGTTCCAGCTGACAGACAGTAGGAATCAGAAGGAGATGTAGAGTGGTCTGATGTCACTGAGAGGGGATAGAAATGGTGAATAACACGCCAGATGACAAACAAATGTGAAGTGACTGGAAACTATAAATTGCAATGGTATCTCATGCGCCCAGTAAAGACTCAAGCTAAATGTGTTGGACTGATAACACTGTTTTACCTCTTGAATTGCAGGTTAAATTGCGACGACAAAGACCTGGATAGGACGCTGTGAGATATTACATTTTTTTAAAATTTGTTTTTCTATGCAGTATGATTTTTTTTTTAGTTTTGGCGATATGACAAGATTATCATTCAACACAATATTGATTGGCCACAATAATGGTCCTGACATGTCCCAGACAACAGAACCATATTCAGTTATGCAACGCCTGAATTTTGCGCTATATCTTTTTTTCTCTTGCTTTCTCTCCATCTCATCCCATTGTTGAAGCATATCAAAAAAATAAGTAACAACATGCTAGTATATGTCTGACACTGTACATAATTACCCATGTACTGTGTTCACATTGCCAGTGACACTAGCTCCTTTTACGCTGCCTGTTGAAGACAGGAATATCGCACTGCTATGCTGCCAAACAATGTCTGTATAAATGGGACAGCCAGCTAGACTGGATCATGGGCGGCACGAGTGTGAAGTTTTGACTACGAGATCAGTAGCCATGTAACAGAGACAGTAAATGATTGTTATTGGCAGGTAATGGACGTAGCTACTGTGACATCACCTATTGGTTTGTGGGCTCCTGTTCTGAAGCCTCAAGTTTGGCATTTCGGCCGTCGCCATCTTGGTTTTTTTGGAGCCTGCAGTGACTATATTTAGGTGAGAGGCTGGCGCCATGAGGACGCAAGAGGTAGAACTAACTCAAAGCGGCTCACCCTGCATATCTTTCAGTCTTAATAAAATTTAAAGGGGTGAATTATATAACAATTCACCCCCAATGCAGTTGTCATGGAGGGGGAAATAAGCTATAGTGATATAGCAGTGTATGGAGACTGACTAGCTTCTGGAGCCAGCCTCAACAAGAACTGCCGTTTTTGGCACTTCCGTGTTGGCCTTATTTTACAGCTGCATAAACCATTTGAAAAAGGAGAGCCAGAGAATGTGACTGAAGTGATCTGTAAGATGTGCAATAAACAAGTCTGGGCCAAAGATGGAAACACCACAAATCTCTGCTCCCATCTGAAACCCACCATCCAACAGTATACGTCTGCCACAGACTCCTTTGACAGTGATCAACCCTCAATCATCGCGATTTCATAAAGGCAGTAGGCATATATCACTGTTTTCCTCATTCCATACATTAGTGTTGATAAATGTGTTATTGGATACCTCACCAGTTGATTGATCTGATCTCTCTGGAAAATAGCGCTTACTGCCTATACATTATGGCCACTTTGTGGACACTTCACTTTCTATGTGCATCTCTCTCTTTAACTTTTTTTTTAGGGGGGGATGATAATTTCGTATACCATTGTTTTTCTTAAAGCAGTACCGTCAGCAGGGGAATTTTAATATTGCCCAACCCTCCACTATAATAATCTCAATTGTAAGCATTGCAAAAGAGTTGTAAAGCAGTGGATGATGACAACATTTTAAACAGAATAATGTAAATAAGAGCTGAGAGAATATGAAAAGATGGATGGAAATAATGACATGAACTAACAGAGAAACCCAAAAAAAAGCCCCAATCATCCTTCAGATCACTAACTCTCTATGCCGGCTCCACATCACGCAGTTTGGTCAAATTCCTTCTGAATTGGGTAAGGAATCTGGAGAAGGAGAGGGGATTTCCAGTCCAGGCTCTGCACACTGCTGCCTGATAAGCTCTGATTGGTTAGCAGATATAATGAATGGTGTGTGTATGCTGTGCACTCAGGCAGTGACACATGCACATAGAGATGACAGGAAAATGTCTGTTTCTTTCTTTCTCCCAAACCAGCTGTGTGTGTGTTTGTGTTTATGGACCTAATTGTGTACAGGTGTTACCTAGGTGATTCCAGATGACTCAGAAGAAGCCAGTCTTTTTGCTGGAGGAATGTGAGAGTGATGTTGAAAAGAGGGCAACCTCACCCTCTCTGTTTGTGTGTTCACTGACATTTATAGTGCTGTTTGCACCCAGTCAGCTCAGCAGCTCTTTATGCTGTTTGGTCTGCTGGAGAGTGAATAGTGAGAACTTTAACTGTAATGATATATCCTAGTGCACTGCCAGTTTGTGGATTTTTTTTCCTAATTTAAGGTGACTAATGCAGTGCTCATCTACCACTATCCCACTATCATTATGTATATTGCCTCCAAGTTTCCTGTAACCTAAAGACGACAACAAAAAAGAAAATATTCTGACCATGTGCCTTCACCAGGATCTTGACATTTCACATTAGATACAGATGCAGAGGCACCTTTTGCTACAAAATGATACGCAACGGGCAGCAGCTATTTCTGACACCACCGTCAACAACCAAATTCGTTAACAGGGTGTCTACCGATGTAAGCAAATTAACTTTTTAAGACCTTTTTAATGCCACCTTATATGAAATATAAAAAATTACAATACACAGTAAACAATTGGGTGAGTTTAAGTTTGATGTGATTAATGTAAAAAGAAAACAAAATCTCATGGCTGTCATAAATGCTATTTATTATTGCAATTCTTTGTCATTGGGTCTGTCAGGCTGGAGAAATTTTCACAGTAATGTGACCGAAAATATTTAAGACTCATCGAATCTGAATTTGAGACAATTTAAGACTTTTTAAGGCTTTATGAATCCGCTTTTACGTCTGGAGCCACCCGTCTACGACGGGATTGAGACACACCCTCGTTGAGGACTTGGCTCAGATTAATCTGATCCTGTTTGATTCGGCGGACGAACGCATGCCTTTGCTGATGTCAACCCCAGTGGGATTCGAACCCTGGACCTTCCGACTTTTTAAGGCTTATATTAAGAAAAAATAATTTAACTGACCTGTAGACACCCTGGTTAAATACCACTGCTTTGTGAGTGGATGTTGGCGTCAGACTCCGACTCACAGAGACACCCAGAGACACTCTTTGCAGTGGTATGATACGCACCAGGCAGCGGCTATTTCGGACACCACTGGCAACTACCGTAGTATTAAGAGCAAGAAAGTCTGGGGTGGGCAAAAGGTGGATGAGTGTTTTACTAATCCTAACCATGTACTTTGTTGTCTAAACCGAAGGAAAAAAACTAAATACGTGTTTTAGCCATTTGTTTGCAACCACAAACAAATGTCATAGAACAGAACATGAAAGTCTCTTTAGCTTGTGTTAACCACAGATCTTATTTTAGGCATCTAATCAAAAAACATTCAAAAAACCCACTGACTTTGAGACGAGGGAAACGGAAGTCTAAAAATGATAACTAATTTTTGGGGGTTTTAGGACTCATTCTTGCAGCAGTCTATCATCCACTCAATAGACATTACTTTTCCGAGACCATGATTGTCCAGTTTAGATGAGTTACGTAAACCATGTCCCATGCAGTAATTATCTGTGTTATCTCACCATATGAGCAGAGGGAGTCATCTGTCGTGCTGATGGAGCTGGAGAACAGCACCCTCTGTAGGCACCCATTGGGGGAGTCTATGTTCAGCTGCGGAAGGGAGATAGCGTTCTTGATGATGGGTGAGATGTCAGGTGGCGGGGATGACAGGTCACGGGAGCCCCCTCGCGGTCGAGGCCCAGAGTTCTTCCGCACATGCCGAAAGGTGCGGGTGAAGAACCCGGTTGTCTTGGAGCTGTTTGACGAGTCCGGACTTCCTGGCTCCCTGATGCCCCCATAGTTGCTAAGGAAGGAAGTATCACCAAACACTTCTCCGCCACGGCCCACATGCATAGTATGTCTGAAGTCACCCAGCGGCGGGCTGATCATGTCCACAGAGAGTTCGCTCTTGAAACGACGTTTCCCTTGAGAGCCCGATACAAGGCCCTTAATCCCTGGCAGTTTTCCCAGACTCATGGCAGCAGAAAAGTTGTATAATTTCCCTTTAATGTGAATGACAGCGTGTGAGCTCTGATTACATGTCAGTCAATTTTAAATCCCAGTTCAGGGTCCACTGTAAAAAAAACAGAGAGAGAAAAAAACACTTAAATGCCAAGACAGTGAGAACAGGAAACACAAATATGTGGTTGTTCAGTCAGCAGAGAATGTGTGTATAATCCATTCTCCACACGGCCAGAGCCAACTATTCATCTACCGTCGGCCTACGGTTTCCCTACACTGAGAGATGCCAGTATGTATACTGAGTCAATTTCTCTTCACTCTCTCTCCTCGTCTCATACACAGTATGCAGTAGTGATCCTTGACTCTGAGCAACTCCTGGCAAAGAGAGCCGCCCTCCTCATCGGCCTACACCCTTTAGGCTCATAAAAACGCATTCTGATCACACAAAATGACCAGAAATTAAAGAAAGGTTTTTTGAATTCTAAATCTGGACTTTAATTTAAATTTCCGCCATCGCCTTTTTGTGACCCATCCACCACCCCAACCTGCCTCCTTACAAAACTGTTCAGGACTGCTTCCTTGTTTACTCCCGTCATCGCACTGGTTATGTGATCGTAGCCTTTCAAAATATGGGGATATGTACAAATCTGGGTGCATTACTTTTCATCGGAAAATGTGCAAACAGTTTCTGTCTTCTGCGCCTGTGACAGAATCACACACACTGTGACAGGGACAACTGTATAATGTTGCTCATTCATGGGTTTAATGAAAGAGTCAAGCTGTTTCGGCATCAGCGTTGACGCTGGAATTGCGCTGGATGCGTGTCCGTTGCGGAACGGCAGCGCTGGTTATCCACTGAGTGCTCCACCGTCCGTCAACACCCACTGGCTGCGTTTGCTGTCCGGAGTGGTACAGCTCTGCCGGACAGGGGGAGTCACGAGGACCCGCGAGATCTCGCGTATTCACGCATAATCGCACGATATAACAAGATGTAGTTTCTATAAACAGAACCACAAAACCAGAGGAGTAGTAGGAAGACATCTCTGTGCACCTCCATGATTAACATCTCCTCGTCCATGGTGTCAACTGGGTGAAATGACGTCTGAAAACCTCTGACCTATTGACTTCAGGCCTGCCTCTGCCCATTATGATTTTTCAAGGTGTAGTGCAGGGAAATATGATCCATTGTGAACACTGTGTATTTTATTTTGAAAATTAACCGGATGTTTTATTTTGTTTCTGTGCACAACTTCCTGCCCCTCACAATTTGCTCTGTGCTGAATTGCAGCGTTGTCCTCCAGCGTCCGGCAAAAATAGAAGTCCTGCGTATCTGTTGCGGAGGGCTCTGGAGCGCCGCAGCTGTGACGGAGACGGAACGCAGCACAGCTACAGCATCAAAACATTGTTTTCTAGTTGGAGCCGCGCCTCGTTTTCAAACTGTGTGGTTTGACTAAAATGAACAATGACAGCAATATAGTCCACGATGAGCAGCGCTAAAATCAACCTGCGTAGTTGTTCCCTCCATTGTGACATTAGAAAGTGTCACATTTGTCTTGCAAGTGTACTCTTCTTCAACGTTTGCTTTACTTCCTGGATTTTTCCCACTTGGAAATTCTGACCAATCAAGAGCAGCTTTCTCACACAAGACATTTGATCTGGTCTGCTTGTAAATGCTCACCCTAACTCAGGAGAGACTCAGCAGCCAGATATTTCTCCATTTGTCTTGTCTTGGGTCACCTTCATAGTCTCTGCTACAGTCACCACAGCCTCACTGTCATGTCACCAGGGGTTTATAGATGTCACTGAAAATCTGCCAATAAGAGCGGTCATCCAGGACCCCTTTATCCCAATTTTTTTGGAGGGGGCCCCAAACATTTACCTGGTTCACCTCCCCTGCCCTGCTTGTACTGCACATGACCAAACACTCAGCTCACTACTCCTGCACAACAACAGCTTTCAGTTATGACAAAATAACAAAGACGATGAATTACAAGGCCGCACTTCGTTTCCTCTGCTTACCACAGCTTATGTGGTCGGAGAGTTTGGACTCTTGTTCAGATCTGGTTCAGCGAATGACAGTTAAGAAAAACAAGGTCCGGCCGCAACTGCAAATATACAGAGACATGATTTCAGCCAAACAACTCAGCTGGTTTGTGTGAGAAAAGTAAAGAAATAGACTGATGTTTACTTAATTTTAAATCTTTTTATATTTGGAGAACTGTCCTGTAGTCAGTCTAAACATACATTTTGCCTGCAACACTAAGAGGATCACCTCACCAGGAATTCGCTGTAAAACCAAAGTATTCTAAATGTGTCTTTTACTTGGTGAACCTAGTAAAAGAAGTTTTTAAGAAGCAGATGGAAATTTCAAAAACAAAACTAAACTGGACTGTATGTTACACCAACACACAAATTTATAAATAACTCTCAATAGGCCAGACTGTGTCTTCACTTCTCACTATTATTAAGGTTTCAGGTTAGCCTACAAGGATTAGTCCCTGGGTTTATGTATTTACTGCAGCATCCCACCCAAGCAGTGAATAAAACCCAAGCACATTAATTGGAAAATTAACTGATTAGTGATAATGATCTACATCCTCCTGCCCTCTTTTTTTTTACCCACAGAAACCTTCAGTAATTTTCTGTAATCTTGCACTTTTAAAGAAAAAAACACAGCAGTATTTCCAATCTGAATCTTACGGGCAGTGACTCCTTTTTCCATCTTCAGTAGAGCTCAACTTTTGAGAAGACCTTGTGCGTCTCATGCAGTTGTCTTCGTCAAAGTCAAAGCAGAGAGACTGGGGAGGGGGTCCACTGCCATGCACCGTCTCCCACTAAAGAGGTTTATCCATGTGTAGCGCCACGCTGTCCATGGGACATCCTGTCACCCCATTACTTTGTTCTCTGTCCTCCTGGCCCCTCTGCACCCAAGATGTCAGACCTTTGAGCAGCACAATCAGAGCTGAGGCAAAAAAGAGGCTTTCTCAAAAGGGGCAATAAAGTAAAGTGCCTTAATCCAGCGACTGTTTTGTTTGCATCATCCTGGAAGAAAAAATACGGCTCATCCAGGATTGTCCATGCGCTGGATTAGCTGCTAATCCCTTCTGTCTTCCCTCCCTCTCTGACTCCCTCACTCGCTCTCTGCCTTCTTCAATCCACTTAGTTCCCCGGTGGTTTCCAGGTGGGGGGGGTTCTGTGTTTTCATTCCGTTCACTTTAGGCCAGCTAGGAGAACGGACAGAGAGAAAAAGGAGAGAGATGTGAGTTACACACTAGACCAAAGACTGGAGACGGAGCATTCAAGTGCACATAAATGTGTCAGGAAAATAAAACTTTGGATTGAGGGATGCTGGGAATGTTATTCTCTCCCTCTCTCTCTCGTTGCCTGAGGAGTCAGCAGGTCCTCAAGAATTTCTTCAGGGGCTGAACTTGATAAATAAAACCTGAGTACAACGGGAGCTTTGAAGAGTCTTTAGTGTGTTTTCTAAGGCTGACTCATATGATTATTTATTTTAAGGTCCCGTGTGGAAAATTTAGGGGATATACTGGCAGAAATGGAATATAATATAATATTTTCTTCAGTGTATAATCACCTGAAAATAAGAATTGTGTTTTCATTACCTTAGAATGAGCCATTCATATCTATATAGGGAGCGGGTCCTAGTCCAAGGAGATCGCCATGTTGCACCGCCATGTTTCTACAGTAGCCCAGAACAGCCAAACCAAACACTGTCTGTAGATAGAGTCATTCATGTTTTTGCATTTCACGTCAGCCACCCCCTACAGAGATAGACTTTTATGTTAAAGAGTAAGATCCTGTTTGTTTGACCCTGAAATCGCCACCACAAAACCCATAAGACTCCATTTAAATAGACAGTAATTTAATTATGTATAGAGTCAGAATATTTTCATATCTAACTTAGTGTGTTAAGGGTTTATTTAAACCAAACCAAAGTCAGTGATTGTTGAAAGACTGGAAAGACGTTCCAAGATCCAAGATGGCTTTTGTAAGATTTTTTTAGTTTTTGTTGACTTTAAATTAAGTGTGTTTTATGGTGATAAAATTGCTGTTTATTTAAATGGAGTCTGCTGGGTTTGGTGTTGACAATGTTGGGCCTGTTTCTGGTTAAACAAAAAGGATCTTACCCTTTAACAAAAAGGTCTACCTCTGTAGGGATCATTTCCATAATGTTGTCAGACACTTATAATAACAATCTGAGCCTGTCACAACAACAAGCACTTCTAGTGGACGTACATTGATGATGCACAGTTGCCCCAACTGGTTACATTGCAGCCTGTTTCACTGCTGCCAGCTGCAGCAGTCTCGCTCAATACTGGACCAATTTCGAAAACTGTTGTAGCCATTAGTCACTTGGACACAAAAACATGAAAAAAAGGGTCCAGGTTGAAAAATACCAAAGTAGCCCTTTAAGTTATAAGTGAAAAAAATGTGCACAGATTAGCAGGTGCTAGGCTAGCAGACCATCTGTGATATGCCAAACAGTGTAAGAGAAATGTTGATTTGTAATGGGAAACTGCTTTATTCAGTGGTTTTACCATTTTAAATCACCTGGTCTGTTTGTTTTGGAGAGGAAGAGACCTCTGTGGATAATTCGGCTCCTGGTAAAACCCTCTGAACAATGAACACTGAAGGTATTCTAACCGGGAGAAGTCTCAGCTGGTTGCAGTCTGCAGTCTTTAAATCCCCCTAAAATCTTTCACACTGCTCCTTTAACTACAAGCACTTCCATGATTATCTCCTGAGCGAAAAAGATTTTTCTACAGTTATACAGTTTACAATTATTAATATTTTAGCACTACCGTGATTAAGAGGTTAGTCGGTCTACAGAAAATCTGAATTTTTTTTAATCAATTTCAGTAAAATTTATGGAGCACAAATGCCAAACTTTTTCGAATTTTTACAGCCTCTTAAGTTCCGAAAGGTGATATTTTTCCGTTTGTGTGCAGCATGAGATAATTTGTATCTTATTTTAGGACTTTAGGGGCTCTGTAACTTTTCTCTGATTTTTATCATCTGGTTTTGGACCACTGGTTTGACAGAAAATATTATTTGAAGACATCACCTTTTAATGACAAACATTTATTCAGTGTTTTTTGACATTTTACAGACTATACATTTAATGATCAGTTATTTGCAGTATATTTTAAAGTATGGTTGGGTAGATGTTCCAAATGTGTTATTTTCGTTAGAGGTAATCCTTGCAATTTTTTTCACGTTCAATTTTTAAATTCATTGTGACATAAAAACAAGTGCCCCTGTCTGCACATGTTAAACCACACTAAGTTGCAAAGAAGCCAGGTCTATCTACAGTAACAGATTTATACACAACATTTATACCATAGATCAACTTCTCCGGAGATAGAAAAGTTTCCTCTAAAGGCCCTGTGTGTCTGTTTTTCCTGGATACACCCTGAGAGCCTGATTCCTGTCTACTGAAGGCATGACTCCAGGGCAAAGTGAGCACCGGTAAGCTCCAAACACGTGACCTCGCCAGTGCTGGATTAGTGTCGCAGGAGTTACTCTCCGAGGCTCCTGCCAGGCCAATCTGGACCTGTGACATAAGAACTTGAGCTAGGTGATGGTGCCACTCTTACTGGGCACTGGCCTGGGCTCAGATTACCATCCTTAAATCTTTAACTAATCCCAGTTTTTCGACAGGACAAGTGTTCAGGGGTGGCCATCACAGGGAGCATGAACTGTCTGTAACCTAGAAATAAGTAAGGATGGAGGATATGATCAAACCGTGGGTGTGACAGAAACAATAATTTAATTTAGTGGGCAATCATAAAGAGGAGGAAGGGGAGGTAGGATGGATTTTAGCTGCTGCCTGACCGCTTCTGATCCTTCGGCTCAGTAACATTTATCTTAAGGGAGTGATTAGGGTGTGTGGGGCACGAGAAGGTGAGAGGCAGATAAACATTAGCAAGAGAGACAAATCCACTCTCAGTGTCAACACCATAAAAAAAATCAAATCATATCATATCAGAAATAATAGTTCACAGACTGATGAATGCCTCTGTATGCAGTTTCCACCCCTAAATGCCCAAGGAGACTCTTTTTTCCTTCTGTCCTTTATTTTGCATTTCTGTCATCTGATGCTTAAAGATCCCATATTGTGCTCATTTTCAGGTTCATATTTGTATTTGTGATTTCTACTAGACCATGACATGCCTCTCTCATACTGTGGGCCTGAATATACCTGTGTTCACCCTCTGCCTGAAGCACTCCATTGTACTGCCTGTTTCTTTAAGCCCCCCTCCCACAAAAGCCAAGTCTCCTCTGGCCCCTTTTAAGGCCCACACCGCAAACCAACTTCAGAGAACTAGCAGCGACTAAAGCAATCTGCTGCGTCACCTCACACCGCTGTGTCTTGGCCAGAAAAGTTGCACATGAACACTCTGCAAAGACTTCATCCAACGGCCAACCAGTATGTACGTTCTGCACATTCTTGTTTTGTCTGTATGAAAAAGCAAAGGCGGCGTAACGACGGGACTTTGTAGCAGCCCTATTGCGCGATCTCGTGTGTGTGAAAAGGGTTTCTGATTGGTCAGTGTTTCCGGGTCCTCTACATCCACGCCCCTGGCTTCTCTGCACCATATTTGCAGCGGGAAAAAGCCTGTAAAGACACTGAAGTGGCAGTTTCTGTCTTTAAATAGCACTGTTGTGACATCACAACTTCACTGAAATCCTGAGGGCTCATTTAAAGGCACAGTTTCTGAATACAGACTGTGTACATTTCTTTGTGGATTGAGCGTTTGGTTACTTTCACAATATTTATATAGCATCTACACCGGCTTCATAATAAAAAAAAGACATATAATCGGACTTTTTACAATATGGGACCTTTAATTAGCAGCTTTTCGTGATGTAATTAACATGTTCTCTCCTGCTTTTATAGCTGCCAATTTCTTGTAGCCTCATATCAGCATTGTATATGGTTTTCCTCCTCCTTTATGACTTTGTGAGCAATAAATGCAGCTCAGCTAAGATCTCTTCATGTAAAGTGTTACACCAGCACAGAAATTCACTTTGGGAACTTCAGGAACTTGGCCTCATTAGAAACACACAGAAAGCGATTTAGATCTGCTAAGCATGTTATTTGTCTGCAAATTGTACCTGCAGACGTTCATAAACAAGCCTGTTTTTTGTGTAAGCTGCCTGACTGATTGCAGAGACAGACGAAGGGGTTGGTAACTGCAACGGGAACAGCTTGCAATGGGGAGAGCACACCGGACGCCATCTATTATGGCCATCAAATAAAGGATCCGAGGAAGCTGATGAGAAACACATTTTTACCTCATGTCTTTATATGATTTTTTTTTTTTTACCAGACTTCTATTTTCAGCTATTCCTTCAATCTATCTTGCTGTCTTTTATCTCTCTGTTTTTCCCTAACACACACACACACACACACACACACACACACACACGCTCTGTCAAACATGTCTCTGACACTCTCCTCGTTGCAAGCAGATTTAATGTGTTCGTCAAACATCTGGTACCACAGAGCCACAAATTGCAGAACTGGGCTCTGATGACATTTAAGGGAGCATTCAATCATAGTGGCTCAGAGAGAAATACATCTGTGTGATTGTACATGGACTTGGACTTACACTCACACTCACACACACAGGACTGTGTCGCAGTGGGTCAGCTCTGAGGTTACTTCCTCCACTGGACTGGAGGCCATGGTCCTTTTACAGCACTGAACCAGCAAACTGTGGTTGAGGTCAGAACAGCCTGACCATTACGCATGGCTCAAAAATACAACATGCACTCAGTTTACAAGGATCTACTGCTGCAACGTGGCAATACACTCCCAAAACTGCCAAGTCCTTATAGTGTGTGTTTGTGTGTGTGTGTGTGTGTGTGTGTGTGTGTGTGTGTCTATGCACAGCAGTCAAGTTTCTTTCTCTGTATGTTATCTGACTGCACAGTCGCCAGAAGAAAATGTTGTCATTGTACGTTTCTGCAAACCATGGACACGTTACATTTGTATGTTTCATACATATTATATCCATGTTTGTAAAGTGATGTAGTTCAGATTACATGTATATGAGCCGAGTTCCCCATCATGATGGGGAGGGGATGGTGGGTGGCGTGGGACCTAGGCAAGTTCTTAAACCACTTTTTAAGACCAGCCATTTTGTTTAGTGACATTTCCAGCTGTGTCTGTGATGACACACGTAAGTATTTTTGACAACACGTCATGACATTTCCAGCAGTGTTTGTGGCGATATAAGCGGATATTTTTTAATGACACATTATCACATTTCCAATGGTGTTTGTGGCGACAGAATTAAGTTTGTTTTTAGCAATGCATCATGACATTTCCAGCAGTGTAGGTGGCGACAAAGTGGCTATTATTTAATAACACATTGTGACATTTCCACCGGTGTTTGTGATGTCAGAAGTGGGTATTTTAGGCCAAAACATGATCATAACCAAGTGGTTTTTGTGCCTAAATGTAACCACACATTAACCACAACACTGTCACAACGTAAGATTGAAAATTAAAACATAAGAAACATCAAGTTTCAACATATCCACTACATATGAAATGTACAAATGTAACATATCAATGGTTTGCAGGAACGTACCATGCCAATATCTTTTCTGGCGACTGGGCTGGACTGCAATAATGATTTCTGATTGAGATGCATGATATCTGGATGTGATAACATGGGTTCATGACGTTGTCTGGTGACTAAACACGGATACTGTGACTTATACATGAACTTCCTGTTCACTCCCTCTCACACTTTCCTTAATGCACTACTGAGTAAACAAAATAATTCACATGAAGAAGCATTTGATAAAGAATTCATGCACATTTGACCTCTCCAGCTAGTTTTATGACTTCTTTTACAGCACACAGAAAACATACAAAATAACAGTAGGTTAAGCAACCAAATCAGTCTTCATGGTCAAATTTAACCCTTGCCATCATTCACTAGTTTCATGAATTCTTGTTTTTATGTATGGGGCTTTTGTCAACAGAACACAGGGGAAATTAGGCCAAACGGCAGTGAAGTGCAAACACATCTCATTGCATTTCAATAGCCATGCTGAACAAAGAGTATAAGGAAATGTTGCCTCTCCAAACTTCCACCTAGCAAACATAAACAGAGAGGTGCAGCTAAAGTGGCCGTTTACAGGAATGCTCAATCTAAGTCTTGTTTTAAAAGTCTGTGTAAGTGATGTGCAGCAGGGTGGACTCCATGGCAACCAAATAAATGAATAATTACTTTTGTACATTATAATATAACAGATACTTTGGAATTTTCAGTTTCATACATTTTAACAAAAAGGTGTGGTGAGGTTTAAACACAAAGACACTTGGTTATAATTAGGAAAATATCATGTTTTGGCTTTCAATACCTGCTTTTGTGGCACAATCCTGGCAGGAAACGCAGCAATGTCTCTGTAAAAAACAATCGCTTTTTGTGGCACTATTCCAGCAGGAAACACAGCCTTGTCTCTGTAAAGAACAACCCCTATTTGTGGCACTAACCCAGCAGGAAATGCAGCAATGTCTCTTTTAAAAACAGTTGCTTTTTTTTGCAACTATTCCGGCAGAAAACACAGTGATGTCTCCATAAAAAACAACCACTTTTCGTGGCAATATTCCGGCAGCAAATAGCGATGTCTCCCTAAAAAACAACCGCTTTTCACTGCATTTTTCTGGCAGGTAGCGCAGTGATATCTCTGTTGAAACAACCAATTTTTGTGGCACTATTCCAGCAGGATATGTAGCAATGTCTACATAAAAAACAAAAACTTTCCATGGCACTATCCCTGTTGGAAACACTGTATCGACTAACTAAAACAGCAACCAATTTTGTTATTTGTTTGTCTGCAGTGGTCTGCAACTGTGCAGGTGTCTCACTTAGGTGTCACACCTTTCACCATCCCCTCTACATCCCAGTGACAAAGACAGCTCATATACTGTGTCACTTAAGAGACGCTGAAATGGTTTATATGTGCAAACGTAGCCGTGGTTTGCAGAAATGTACAAAGCCAACATTTCTCCTGGCACTTGGGTTGACTGACCCAATGCTGCTGCAAGGACAGACAGAGGGAGTGTCCAGATGTTTGGATGGTTGAATGTCTCTCTAACCATGACGCCACCTCCCTGACAGGCTGCCAGTGCACTGATCTGAGATCTGGCACAACCCTGAGACAGTTGCTCTGTGGTTCCACTAGTGGAGCAGTGACCAATTGATTCTGATTGTTTTCATCAAACACAGTCTCGCCACCTTCATCAGAGCCAAGCCGCAGATCATGTTACTGACAGTTTGAAGGCATTTGACATATAGTACAGGGTGTACAGTTCATATTATTAAAATATGAAAACAAATTGCCACTAAACTAATGGGAAGTAATGCTGCAAAAGAGGATGTACAGAGGGTAGAGTGTGACATAGTGTAAGCACTCATGAAAGTAACTTGTCTCATGATTGCAAACACTGACACAAGGGTGGATTGTATTGAATGCCACATGGCAGCATTTGGGAAAGTTAATTGTATTGTTTGTTTCCTATATACTGTTTTTAATGAACATTTTTACATTTTTACTGAATAATGATGCACCTGCAATCCACACATAGGTTATTTGGCCCCTCTGGAGCTCTGGTAGCTGTCTGTAGTTATTTTAAATTGACAAGTGCTGTGCTGCTAACTTGCACTCAGGCAAGTTTTTCAGTGATTATAGCTGTGATGACGTCCTTCCTTGCGTTGATTATTTTGTCTGAATCATTTAAATGCCCAAGAGAAACATGATCTCACTTGTTAACCAACTAACTGCACCGTGATGTGCCCACGTGGGGATAAGTGTGCAAAAGTTTATAGTGTCTTTTTATGAGAGATCTAAGGTGAAGTAACATTTGCGTCCGTGGCTGCTTCCACTGCGCTTTTCTTTTACGCACAGAAAATGCGCTCGAGAGTTATTTTATAGAAAGCCAAGGAGACTGGGTCAAATGCTGGCTGTGTAGTAATTTACTATAAATAGATCTTGGTGTTTATTTCACATGCCCATTCGCTGTTACAAGTACACGTTGCGCGATATACGTCAAACAAAGTGATTTACAAACTCATCTTTTCAGAAAACTCTTACCTTTAAATACAGTTAGAGCGCAGTCCCTTCACAATGACACGACTTCACCACGTCTTTTCTCTGTCATCCTCCTCGGTTTGCGGTCTGCACCTTATGTTTCCGCTTGGACGTGAACTTTGCATCAGTGCAGCGCAGCGGTGCAGCGGCTCTGTGCTGCTGCTGTCAAGTGGAGTGGAAAGAGATGGAGAGGAGGAGGAGGAGGAGGAGGAGGAGGAGGTGGTGGAGGAGGAGGAGGTGGGTGGACTCCAGAAAGACTGAATAATAACGGATGTTGAATGAAGCCCTAACCCAATCACTCAGAGAGAATGGGTGAAGAGGCTGCCTTCAGTGTGTACTGTATGTGTGGCGCGTCTTTTACTGGACAGAACTGACTGTCGACTGAAGTTAAAGCTGCAGTAGGCAATTTCATTTTGGCGTCACTAGGCAAAAATACCATTTAACATATTGTAGTTCAAGTGGACTGAGAAAAATGCACGTCCCTTTATGAAAGCCTGATTCATTGGCAGAGAATCCTGCAGAGAGAGTTACTATTTCAGCATTGACAGCAACATAGCAGCCCAAAAAAGCAAGACAGACTTATCAGAAAGAGATTCTAAGGATGCTTTCAGACCTAGAGTTGTCTTGCTTTGGTCTGAATCAGGGACTCATTTTGTTACAGAGTTGCATAATTCCCTAGAGTTGGTTCGTGTTCTCACGGCAGCATTTACAAGCGGACCAGATCAAATGCCTTGTGTGAGAAAGCTGCTCTTGATTGGTCAGAATTTCCATGTGGGAAAAATCCAGGAAGTAAAGCAAACGTTGAAGAAGAGTACACTTGCAAGATAAATGTGACACTTTCTAATGTCACAATGGAGGGACAACTACGCAGGTTGATTTTAGCGCTGCTCATCGTGTACTATATTGCTGTCATTGTTCATTTTAGTCAAACCATACAGTTTGAAAACGAGGCGCGGCTCCAACTAGAAAACAATGTTTTGATGCATTGGATGTGCTGAATGTGCATATTAAGGCAGTACAGGAGGAGGTGCACATTAATAATCCTCCAGGACTGTAACATGCTCGTGTTTAACCCAAACAATGTGTCATGTGATTCAGATCCAGGTTAGAACACGTTCTCACCACAAACGAACTGCACCAGAGTTCGTTTGTAACTGGACTGAGACCACCTCTTCAAGAAGGTCTCAGTCTGGTTGTTTTGGTGCACACCTGAGTGCAATTGCTGTGTTCACACCTGCCCAAACGAACTGCATTTAGGGGGCGAGTGAACTTGAGTTCAGTTTAACTGTACCAAACAGGGCAGATGTGAAAGCACCCTAAAAGAGAGTAGTGTCAGTATCAGCAAAGCGTTTTAGAGATGGAGAGACAATATTGCCTTCTGCTGACTGGAGCTATAGGCTCACAGCTGTAGCTTAAAGTTCATGTTTATGTAGCTAACGTTAGCCAGAGCCTCAAACAGTGTATCCCCAAACTCACTCCCCACCGTGACAGCTCCCTCGTTGGGAGGAGAGCAGGGAGCAGCTCCAGCAACTGACCCCCAGTCAGCGGCCTCAGCAACCCAGCCAGCTCAAACCCCAGCTCCAGGGGACCGGACAGCCCTGACTCCCCGCCAGATCACCAAACTTTCTGTTGCTGCCATTACACAGGTTAGACCCAGTTTGCCTCTGGTTACCAGCCCACTGTGACACCAGGCACTGGGGGGTTTGTGCCGGCCAAATTTGAGCCACTTCAGCCACTGACCAAAGGCCTGTCTCCCGAGCTGCTGCCCACTCTCCTCCTGGGGAAGCGGTGGGGAGTGAGGCGGAGGGACCGTGGTGTGGCTAGCAGCTAATTCTTGTCTCATTTGTGGTCTGATGAATTCAGATTTCTGCTAACCCTAGCTCTAGTTTGTGGAACATACGGGGCTATAACTCTTAACAGGCATATAGCAGATCATATAAACTTTCAGTTTGAGCCAAACTATGCAAAATACACTAATTTAAAAAGCACAAGAGAAAAAAGAACAACAAAAGTACAACATGTTGGTTTGGGGCCATCAAAGGAGCCAATGTGATGAGGAAAGACACTGAGCACATTCTCATCGTAGGCTGAAGGCTGCAATAATAAACCACTGTGACTCTTCCCACACTGCTCTGTCAGTGTGTGCTTGTGCTGCGGGCTAAATGTGGGTATACGTGCATGACTTCAACTTGTTTGTGGTGTGTGTGTGTGTGTGTGTGTGTGTGTGTGTGTGTGAGTGTGTGTGTGTGTGAGAATGTGTGAAGAGCCTCCCGATGCTTGAACTCATCAGGTCTTAACCTCAGATCCTCTCTGTCTGTCACTGCCTGAGATAAATGCTTGACATGAGAACCTACTTTAATTTGACTTGGGCTCATTGACTTGGATATTTAATCAAAAACACGAGCACCAAAAACAATGAAACACACACACACACACACACACACACACACACACACACACACACACATCTCATCCTTGACCTTTACTCAGCTCTGTAAACATGATCTCTTAAGAGTTCCCATGGGTGTCATCAACCTTTCTTCTCTCTGTGACCCCTCTTCACCTCACTCTTAACAAAAATAGACTCATCACCAACTTTCAGTTGGGCATGCAACAATAGTGTGCATGTGTGTACAACAGCATAACTCTAGCAGTTTCTTCAAAGGGTATTTTCAAAGATTTGAGGTCATTTTCAGAGGCATTTTCACAGTTTGATATGCACAGTGTCAGCGTATACCTCTGCCTCAGTGTATACTTAAAGCGCAGTCAGGCTGGTGAGTGTGTGCCATCTGTGCATCACCACATACATTCAGTACATTTATAAGGACATCAGACAAGACTTGTAACACCATAAAACCTAGATAATGTAGTGACTTGTCCAAACTGTAATAAAAACATCCTCAGTCGAGTGAAAAGTCAAAATGAAATCATAATGAACATGCAGCACTTCTGTTTATCTTGAACTTCATGGCATTTTATGTTCTAATAATTTCATCATGGCTTTGCAGTTTGATTCCTCTGGAAAAAAACAGAAACACAAATGTCCAAGCTGAGGGGCGATGATGCAGATTTGACAAACAGAAATCAATTTACTTCCTAAAACTGAAAATCTTATGGCAGGATGGAGACAAGAGAGAAGGCCGCAGAGAAGGCAGAAGAGAAAAGACTGTCAGCTCTGAGCAAGGAGACAGAAGAGGTGAGTGAAGAGAAGGAGATGTGAAGGGAGGTGGACCTTGTGAACAGACATGAGAAATGGAGGGATCATCATTGCTGTGAATATGGGAGGGCGAGCAGCTCTTGTTGACAACATCTGCAAAGTATCAGACCCTCTGTCAGTGAATGTGAGGGCGAGGAAAAGAAAACCAGAAGACAGAGACAGAAATCTGACACCATAAACTTATAAAATCATGTTGAAAAATGTCTCTGTCAAGAATTTAGTTTATTCATGAGCTTTAAGTTGTAATGTGGAAATAATATGGATGCTACAATAACCCGGTCTCACTCCGAAGTCATTGAAGTCCGGCGCTTAGGCAGTGACTTGCAGCATCAGACTGATAAAAAATCTGTCTTTTAACATCGGCACGATATGCAGCCGGTCACCATTATACTTTAACGGCACTTGGTGTCATCAGGGGGAAATATGGCTTGACACCAACGAAAAATAAGACATCGAAAGTCAGAGTTGGGTGGGCAGGAGTTGTGGTGCATGTGTCCAACAAACACTGACCTTCACCCTGGAGAGCGGCGTTCGAGTCCCATAAGTTTGGAAAGCCAAACCCTGTTCTTTTTTCCTAAACCCAACCATGTGCGTTAGTTGTTGAAGGTGAAAAAACATCAATTCACTGTGTTTTACTGACATAGTGCATTTATTTTGAAAGAAACGGTGCGCAAAGCGTACATTTCCTGTGAAAATGGAAGTGTATTTTGAAAGAAGACAATGCATGTAACAGGCAGAACATGGCACGGTGTCCCAGAACGTTATAAACCAACGCACCCAGGGTACCTTTCATGTCGTATCTGTATCTGTGGAAAGTCCATGACCAAATGTCAATATATGACGAGATCAGAGGGAGAATGTGTTGGATACAAAGATGTGTTGTATTTTATTGCTCAGAGCATTTTAACAATGCTTTGCTAACGAAGAGCAAAGGAAACTAACCAGGTGAGCCTTGAAACATTATCAGGAACTATTTTTCAGATTATTCCAACACATAATTGCAGCACAAGACTGTGGAGGAATGTGGTGAAATTCAGGGGTATGTTGGACCCATCCACCACCCCTTCCACCTGCCCCTCAGGGCCTTTCTAGCTCCTTATATTATGTCATTATTGGAAGTGTTTCAAACTGACGCTGTACTGTGGCATATTATACCCCTGTGACAAATGCCGTCCGGCCAACTGGTAGCGCATCATAACACTGCGAAAGGTGGCTTTTGGCGTTGGTGTCTGAAGCCGTAATCACTGACAATGTGGTGGTATTTGATGTCTTTGGAATGAGAACAGTCTGGCATGTATTGTATTTGAGTGTCACAGAGAAACTGATACCATATTTTGCAAAAGGCATCAAAACTTGAAAGGTTTGATACATTTACATGTACCAACGCGAAGGAATCAATACTGTGGAAAGAATCATACCGCCCATCACTACAGGAAATGAGATTGGTGATTGTATTTTAATCATAATGTTACATTTATATAATGATGTGACTGCAGAGAGGTGACAGAGAAATATAACACAGAAACAGAGATCCAACATGGCTTAAAGAGGCCAAAACATGAAGCTCATGGTATGAAAGGAGGAAAGAGAAGGAGATGGAGAGGAAGGAGTGCTACTAAAACAGGATGAGAAGCCTCTGAGACAGAAAAAGTTTTTTTTCACAGGAAATGACTTTCTCACAAATCAGAGACGCTGCCAAGAAGCTTCAACTCTTTGCAGACACTGAAACTATTTTAGTATTCAGCAGCTCACCATCATTACTGTCACTCAGACCAAATAGGTTCATCCAGTAAAAACACATATGAACATATCAGGTATGAATGAGTGTAAAGGTGATTCCACTTCACCAGCATCATTGTTCGTTGTGGGTGTTTTACAAACTGATCCAGACTAGAATCCCACTCTCATGAAAGCCAGATGTGGTTTTAGAGAACATTGTTGGGGAA